TTTACGACTTATGAGATGATAGTATTTTTTAAAAAAAGAAACCCAAAAGAAAATTGGTGTTATCGGGGAACTGCCTATGTGGGGAAAGGCAGAATTAAAATGTGTTGAATAAATAAATAGCATGCAGGTGTGGTAATTAAATACTCAACATGTAAATTGGGGCCGGTGTGTGTGGCAGGAACTTCCATTATGGCCCCTTAGAACACAACATTCTCCTCTGCGGTCTGGCAGTATTATGTCTTCTGTGAGTGGAAATAAATAATCGGTTATCAGCCATCGCCTCAGCCTAAATACTGTCTGAATATTCCTTATCTATGGTCTCACAACGGTTACTGGAACACCAGGGGTAGGCAAGCAGCCAAGAAGGCAAAGATATGGAGGCAGCAATTGGGAATCAGGTGGACTCAAGAGGACCAAAGGCCCAGACAGTCAGCCAACAAGCATTTAGCAGCTGCAGCTGTATCTCAGCTGCTCCCAGCTGAGGATTGCTCTATCAGCCAACAGGGAATTATCAGAGAGACATGCCTGGCAGGCAGGCAGCAACTGTGGAGTTCTTGTGGACAGACATCTGTGTGAAGAAACAGGGCTCTGAGTCCCAGCAGAAATAGTGAAACCTGCTGAGAGTTATGTGCTGCTTTCTGACATTTTTAACATGGGATAGAAAAATGCTAAAGGGTTTCTGAGAGACAAAAACCGTAAGGTGGCATTTATTTTAGGCTCACATCTGTGGGGTTAGGGTGCGCAGCATCAGACAACATTTATTCAAGTGGTCTGTAAAATAGTGCCGGCTGGGCTGTGAAACAGGACCACATTCAGACTTGAAGAGGCCCTAAATTATGTCAAGTTTAAGAGGCCCCATGGCCTTCCCCCCAAATGTGTATTAGGTAATTATGTAAAACTTGAACATTTGTTTCTCGGTGTGTTTTTTCCTTTTCCTATTTAGAGACACCTCATAAACTGAGGCCCTAAACTGTAATTTACTAAGCTGCCATGAAGGTAAGCTATTACAGTAGAAAGCATTTTCTAGCTCTGTGTAAAAAGCACCATCATTTTATTTGTTCATATTACATTTATATCTCACTTTTCCTCTAAAGAGCTCAAGGTGGCGTATATGGTTCTCCCCTTTTCCATTTCTCAAAACAATCCTCTGGAGTAGGTTAGTCTTAGAGATGGGCTGCTATTCACATTTTCCTCAGAGTAGATCCACTGAAATTAACGAACATGACAATGTTCGGTCCATTCATTTCATTAGGTCTGTTCTGAGTAAATTGATTACCACGCATAGTGACTTGACCCAAGGTCAGTCAGGGAACTGCATGGCTGAGCAGGAATTAGTCTTCTAGGTCCTAGTTGAACACTCTAACCACTACACCACACTTGGTTGCATGCTAAAAAGGATATCTAAATTGCAGAGTGTACATTTCCACATATTCAGCTTAACATTTGAACTGATGAAATTAAGTCTCTTGGCTTCCTAAATAGCTTACAGCACAGATCTGTGTATGTCTGCTTGTTCCCAGGTGGGATGGGTATAGGATTTCAGCCTTTATTTATGGTTTTTGTTATGCCACCACTTATGATCACATTCCCCCCCCCCCCACTGCCATGCCATAGAACAGTCTTGTCAGCCTGGTGCCCTTGTTCTGTCTGAACCTGGCCACTGTTGACAGGAACAGCCGCAACATGACATCTCCTAGACTAGCTTTGCATATTACCTAGAAGTACACGCAGAATGTGTATGAGCAACTGGCACATTCTCTGCACATGCTTCTGGGTCCCATATAGAGGGGGGGAAATTCTGTGTCTACCTGCAGGTAGATTTTACCTCCTCATCATGAGCCCTCTTAGGCCTCATTTCCCCATCCCATTAGTTTTCTCTTTGCACGAGCTAAATAAATGTATATAATGGGAAGAGTGGTTTCAGCTTCCTATTTTACAGCCTTTGGGTAACTTGCAGAGAAGCTTCAAGCGAAGGCTGGCCTTGAAACCAGGAAGGGACTGACCGAGGGAAAGGCATATCGGAAGGACACAGAAAGTGGGAGAGCAAAGAACAGAGTATGCTGCAAGGTTACACAACAGAGGACTTCAAGTCACCAAGTAGCCAGACTTGGCAGATATGACTGTTGAAGGCATATGACAAGTCTGCTTTTGGTTCAGAAACTAAACAGGTATTAGAGTGAAGCTATTCCTAACTTGTCCTTCTCTCTGTGTCCATTCATAATGGACAAGAGTTACAGTTTACAGGCTGCTTCTGCCTTGGCTGACATTATAATGTTCCCTCTTTCCATTGGCATATTACACTTCAGAATTTGGCCTGAGAAGCCGAGTAATTCCCTCTCTGACTGCTCGCGTTCAATGGTGCAGTTTATCTCACTGTATTCACCTCTGCCCTGGCAAATCAGTTTTCTACGCAGAATTTCCAAGATCAATATGTGATTATTCTGTTTGTCCTGGCACCTCGGATGCTGAATGACGAGAGTGGCAACCCAGCTGGGATATCTGGAACTCTGCAACACTGGATTGTGGAGGCAAGGTCACTTGAGGTTCCAGACTGTTTTGCATTTCATCACAAAGCATTTGGGGGCCAGTGTTTACTGTAGGCCTTCCATCAGCTGTAATTTTAGTAGTGTCATCATGAGTTTGTACGGCATGCTGAATCTATCACTTCCTGTGGAATTTTTTTCTCCTGTCTGGATAGCCTGCATAAGTACCTCTCATTATGACATAAAATGCATGCTTTATATGCTGAGGATCACCAAATATGAAAATGTGTCAAGCTTGGAAATAAAGCAGAAAGAAATCCATACAGCTTGCTCACAGGAGTTTTTGTTTAAATAGTATCCTGTCTCAAGTTTGTAGAAGGAGCTCTTTGTCTCAGGCACATTCAGATATAAGACTATATACAGCATCAGGTAAAGTCTGCTATATAGATAATGGTCACATTATTCAATCCATCTTGACTTCAAGAAGCTTCTTAAGTAAGGTGCATTTATGATAATTCCTTGTGGAATTATGTGTTTATTTTAACCCCCCCAACTTTAGATACATGGGTTCAGTGTCTGTATCCCTGTGGGGCCTTAAATAAGCAAACAACAAATGGGATCTTAATTTTATTTATGTGCCACTTCATATTCCAGCAGAAATCTCTAAGCAGCTTACACATCTCAACGAAAAGAGTAATAAACATAATTAGAAATACAATACAAAATGCCTTCAATATTTAGCAAAACACAGTGCATTTCATGCTTCACTGTTCTAAGATGGGCATGGCAAGCCTACCCTAAAATTTTGCCAGGGGTGGAAATTCACAATCATTATGTTGTTGGGATGGGTACTCTCCTCCTTTGTGAAACTAAGTCCCCTTTCTTCTTTTACCAAAAAACCCCAATCAAGCTAATGGCATCATTTTAACTTTGAACCACTGTTTGGTTAAATGCTTAAGCACAGATCAAGCTCTTTTCCTTATAGAACCAAACATTAGTTGGGGAAAAAAGCAGCTGGTTCAAAGGCTACAGATTCTAAAGAAAGACAATCACAGTGATTCTGTAGAGACAAGCAGAACTGAACTCCAGAGGCAAACAACAAACAGGTGGAATCAGTTTCAAGTTCTATTTGTGTGGCCTAGCAAAGTGTTAGGTGGGTTTCTGAAGGGGATTGCCTAACGTAGGGAAGACCAACTAACCTAATCAGCCAACTGTCAACTCTTGTGCAAATTATTTACAAATCTAGGGAATGGGGACAGTATATGTTAATGATTGATATGTTGTTAAAGATGGTAAGGACAGATGAAACAGAGAGCTGATTACACCTATTTATTTAACAAAATGTATGTACCGCTTGATTATAAGAGAATCTCTGAGCGGCTTACAAAAGTGTAGGCTTTGGCCAAGAGAATGGCCACAAGACTCATAGTTCTACCACAGAAGCTCAGTCGGTCTCTTTTTGTAAACGGTCATGATTGGGAAATGCTTAGGAAGTACAGAAAAAGAAAGTGAGCTTCTTGAAGAAAGAGCAAGGCATACCTGCAACAAAGAAACCTGTTTCAAACCCAACAGCAGAAGGCTATGAAGTTGCAACAAGGCATACATTCATAATTCATATGCCCAGTGCTTTTTTCTGGGGGGATGGAGGGGTAAGCATAACCCTAAACATATTGTGAATCAAAGTTTGGCCTCATTGAGGGGCAGTATTTCAATATGAGGAGGAAAATGAGAGTACCCCTAAACTTTTTTTTTTATAGAAAAAAAAAAAGCATTGCATATGCCTATACAAAACCTGCTGTTAGGTTTATTTTCATTAAAGTAAAAATTCCATACATAAACAAAGTTGATATCACTCACTCACTCACCGCTCACCTATTAAATAGATTATAGCAGACTCCCATACCCTCCAACATTTCTCCAGTGAAAATAGGGACGTCCCATTCCATAACGATAATTTTACTATTTATACCCCACACCTTTCACTGGGTTGCCCCAACCACTCTGGGCAGTTTCCAACATATATAAAAGCATAATAAAACGTTAAACATTTTTTAAAAAGCTGCCCTATACAGGATTGCCTTCAGACAGGTTAGGAGTCAAATAACTCCATACCCTCCAACGTTTCTCCAGTGAAAATAGGGACGTCCTAAGGAAAAGCGGGACATTCCTGGATCAAATCAGAAACTGGGACTGGTTCTCTAAATCAGGGACGTCCCTGGAAAATAGGGACACTTGAGTGGAATCTACACACATATAAAAGCGTTCTGAAAATGCTTTCTTTAAAAGAAGCATTTTTAAAAATACATTGAATTTTCCATAAGGCTCACCATCGCCATCTAGTGTCACATTGTATATTACACTTAAGACACACTTAAAACGTTTTATTTGCAGCTGAATAGCTGAGTCCTTGGAGGGTCTGGACTCCAGAATGGCTGGATTTTTTTTATTGCATATTTGAGCTCATCCACTGCCTCTGATTTCTAGCCGTGGGTCTGAGAGGATTTTATTTTGTCCCGTTGCTTTCCCAAGGAAAACCTGCTGTTTACTGCTGAATTGGAACAAATGTCAATCTGCAAAAAACCAAACAAACACTGATTTACATTTGTTCTAATTCAGCAGTAAACAGCAGGTTTTCCCAGGGAAGCGATGGGTCAGAAGAAAAACATATTGGACCCATGACTAGAAATTACAGAACAAGCAGAAATGTGGGCGAGCCCTTAGTTTGGCTTACCTTTAGGCCTGGGTGTTCAAGGCTTAATGATGGCCTACAATGACTCACACTCTGATGCAATGTGTTGGGTGCCTCATATCTGTGGGAGGCCTACCTTCTTCAAGCATTAGAATTTCATCCCTCGTTTGACGCATATATAAGGAACATGTACAGCCAACCACATATAAGCTGTGATGAGCAGAACCATGTAAAATGGTTGTAGTATGAAGGGGTTTTCACTAAATCCACTTGGGGTTTTTAATTTTTTCAATGGTATCAAAATGTACAGACACTGTGCCTTATTGTGAACTATAGCAGGACTGCTCTAGCTAACTTGTGTCAGCAGGGAGGACTTTTCAACCTTAGAGGACGCTCTAACTGCTGCTGATCTTAAAGTTACCATTTTGGGGGAAAGGCATTTCAAAAGGAAACTCCAGCATGAAACCTCTGCATTACAGTATTTCAGGAAATTCAATTCTGTCACCTGTGGCTTGAATTAAGATTGCAGTTTTTATCCTATTACATGCACTAATCGGTTTATTGGTATCAAGATGTTTGCCTTATCAAGAAACTGCCTTGTTCATGGCCACTTATTCTGTTTTGACATAATTGCCTCTGTGTTCTTTAATCACTACATTTCCCTCTGACCTTGGTCTTCTCCATTCTATTCCTCCTCCTGCTATGCTTATATATGTCTGCTAGTTTAGGATTATACTTCATGCCTGGGATGAAGTGGGCAGTCCTTCATAAAACCTTTACGCCATAATAAATGTGTTAGTCTTTTGAACATGGCTACTTATCTGAAACTGACTTCCAAGTGAAGATACTTATACTGCAGGCTATAATCAAGCATTACTTTGTAATCTTACCCTGTATCTTACCCTTTCCAGCCTCCCTACTCCCTCTATTATATAATAGTGATTAAATGTGGTGGAGAAAGGGTGCTATGTTACAAGAAAATGCAATAATTTTTTCATATGTTTTTCATTATGTTTTTATATGTTCATGATAGAAGGGTTATAGCTCACTGGTCCAGCATTAAATTTGCACGCAGAAGGCCGTAGGTTCAATCCGCAGCTTGAATGTTTTTGTTTGGTTGGAATGTGTCTTTGAGCTGTGATAATGTCTCCTGGTTGCCTGGATAGTGAATGGAAAGATCTGGGCACGGATACCTTTGACTTTGGCATGGCTAGAATGTAGTCTGCTGTAAAAAAACAAACAAAAAATGGGTAAAGGACCCCTCAACTGTTAAGTCCAGTCAAAGGCAACTATGGGTTTATGGCACTCATCTCACTTTCAGGCCGAGGGAGCCGGTGTTTGTCCACAGGCAGCTTTCCGGGTCATGGCTAGCATTACTAAACTGCTTCTGGCACAACGGAACACCATGACGGAAACTAGAGCACACGGAAATGCCGTTTACCTTCCCGCCGCAGTGGTACCTATTTATCTACTTGCACTGGCGTGCTTTCAAACTGCTAGGTTGGCAGGAGCTGGGATAGAGCAACGGGAGCTTACCCTGCTGCGGGGATTCGAACCGCTGACCTTCTGATTGGCAAGCCCAAGAGGCTCAGTGGTTTAGACCATAGTGCCACCCGTAGTGTCTCCCCGACTCTGCCCATCCCTGGCATATGTCCCTCAGAAGTCACCCATGAGGAAATCCTTGCTTCACATTGACTGGAAGTGGCTTTCCAGGCTTTCAGATAGGGGTCTTTCCCAGACCTAACTGGGGGAGTGACAAGAGTTGAATATGAGACCTTCTGTATGCAACACGATTGCCCTGCCACTGAACTATTCCTTTATAACTGAGCGCCTCTTTATGGTTATATGCCAGCCACACAACTGCAACACTCACATCTGAACCAGTCTCAGAAACCCTACTTCCGAATCTCAAGTCTTCATCCACACCATAGATTTAAAGTACATGATTTCTGCCCAAAAGGCCTGGGAGACATAATTTACCCTTCCCAGAGCTGCGCTTCCCAGCGCCTTTAACAACCTACAGTTCCCAAGATTCTTAGGGGAAGCAATCCACTTCAAAGGTGCTTTAAATGTATGGTACAGATGAAGACATGAGATCTCCAGAAGTAGTATTTTTGAGATTGTTGGCCTCAAGATTTAAACTTCCTGTGCTAAGAACTGACTCCCAAATTGAGTGTGATTTGTGAGCTCTATGCCCAAAATGACCCCTTAATGAAAGAATTGTTCAAGTAAAGAGAGACAAGCATGGAATAAGAGAAGGAAAACAACACAAGAGACCCCAAACCTCTCACTCCCCCAAACCATCCTTGTTTTTCAGCTCCATTCGTGGTGGACAGGATCCGTCAGCAAATGTCATCATGGGGTACACGCTGGCTACATTAATCTGGCTTTGCTTGTGCAAGAGTTTACTTTTATAGCCCTTTCTGCGGCTGAGAGAAACCATCTGAGTTCAACGTTTCACAGATTTCTGGGAAGCTAGTAAGAAGTGTGGCGACGGGCCTTGCCAAGGAGGAGGCAAATGGCTTCAGAGAAGCATTTCAAGTCGCTTCAGAATCCTTTGCTGAATCTGATTAGTTTCAACGCCTGTGTGACTGACTCCACATCAAAACCAGAAAATATGTTTCTGCTCATCTTCAAGATTGCTGCTGCTAATTTGCAACATCTGCCTCAAAAGCAAAACAAACTGAAGAGTGGAGACACTGAGCCATGTGTCTGAAAAGCTAACACAGCCATTCAAATTAACAGAAGTAAACACCAGGGCTGCAGATGTGGCATCTGCTTGAACAGCAAGATGTTTCTCATAAATGGAGTGCAAAATGGTGGCTGTGCTGTCAACAGCACAAAAAAGTTAGGGTTAATGCCTTTTTTTTTAAAAAAAAGTGTTTTTCAATGAGCATTGTTAAATATAGAATTACAAAGGGAAGGGCTGTAGCTCAGTGGTAGAACATCTGCTTTACATGCAGAAGGTCCATGGTTCAACCCCCCATTTCTCCATGAAGGGCTGGGAGAGACTTCTGCCTGAAACTGTGGAGAGCTGTGCCCATAAGTGTAGACCGGGGTAGACAACTTGGTGCCCTGCAGATGTTGCTGGACTACTGCTTACATCGTCCTTGACAACTGGCCATGCTGGCTGGGACTGAGTTGTAGTCCAATGACATCTGGAGGGCAGCACAGCTATTCTTGGTGCAGCTGATAGTGAACTAGATGGACCACTGGTCTGATCTGGCAGGTACTTCCTATGTTTGTTTAGGAAAGACTAATGGAACACATATGACCATGCATGTATTGTCCCAAGTAAAGCAGCAATTCCCAACTGGATGCAGAGGTGGACCTCTTACCATGGGTTTACTATAACTTTACCACATTGCTGGGATTTCCAAGCTGCTATGGAGGTATCAGAGAGTCCAAGGTCTGGACCACACACCTCTGAATCTGAGGCTATGACTTAGCTCTCAAGACTCTTGCTATCCTTAAAACAAACACAAACACACACACACACACACACACACACACACACACACACACACACACAATAATAGGGCTCTGGAACCTCAGTACCCATGCTTAGCAGGCAATATGAAGCCTTTGTATTTACCAGATTTAGTATTAATACTAGGAGGTGACTTACTCCTCCTGTGACTTCAGACTATTGTCTGAGATCAAAGTCATGTTGATTGCTCTCTTTCCCTGTAATTCTGAGAAATCAACTCTTTCCAAATTCTTAGCAATGTTGAATAGGGGACTCCCAGCAACTAAATCCTGAATTAGTATTCAATACCCTTGCTTGACAAGCTTACTACACTCCTCCTGTTTTTTAAGAGACCACCACTGCAGGAAAATGGTAACTTCCAGGTTTTTTCCTTTAAACACAATAGAGTTGGGAAACCGTTTGCTTTGCAAATTAATTATTCTCCTTATTTTGTTAAAGATCAATATGGTTGGTTACATTTTCAGATGGAGAAGTAATATAATATTCCAAATCTCTCTCTCTCTCTCTCTCTCTCTCTCTCACACACACACACACACACACACACACACACACTGAGGTGGGGTGTAGCATAAGGCAGGAACCAGAGCCTATTCCCATATAAGAGACTTTAAATAACCTTCAAAGCCACCCACACAGCTGCCACGGAACCATCAAACTGGTGCAGGACCAATTTTGCTGCTGAAACTATAGCAAGGAAGATTTACGGAAGAGTAGAGTAGTCTCTGCATTTAATTTCACCCTGACCTCACTTTTTACAATTCCACCCATCCACGTCTATACATACCTACAACTCAGGATAGCACTTCATGTATCTGAGACTGTAGTCTACAGAAACTTATGCCATAATAAAATAGTTTAAATCTTTAAAGTGCCACAAGATGCTTTGTTAGAGCTGGTCTTTATGATTGGCACAACAGAAGCAGTACAGTAGCCATAGGATATATTGTAGTTCTTCTTCTTCTTTGGCGATCACTCGTAGCCAAGTAAGACTGTCTTCCATAAACACAGTTTTAACAATGAGTACATTAGCAGTGACACATGTGTGAACTCACTCACCTTAATATTTTGCTTATTTATCACATCACCCTCCAGCCCTTCCGCCAAAGGGAGCAGGATATATGGGGTTATTTGGTGTCAACCTTGGAACAACCCTCTGAGATAGATGAGGCTGAGAAAACATAGCCACTTGCCTAAGGCCACCTAGTGAGCTTCATAATGTCGGCCCAACAATAAACTCACACTAAGCTACTGGAATTATTATTATTTTAGTCTTTCCATGGCAACCACGGAAAATTAGCCTGTATTTTCTGGGAGCATGGAAATTCCATCCCTCAAGCATCCATTTCCTATTTGCCTTAGAGCAGGGGCTCTCAAATGTTCCATCACTACAAAATGGACACCAATTGTGCGGTGTGGGTGGGTGTATGAAAATTTCAAAATTGTCAGAATTTAAATAGCCACACCGCACAATTGGTGTCCATTTTGTAGTGATGCACGTCTTCTTTTTTGGCATTGGCCAGCCTAGTCCAACAGGTAGCTGGAATATGTGAACTCAACCAGGACCATCTTAAGCATATCCGGTGCCGTGGTGCAAATATCCTTCCGGTGCCCCATCCCCCGTTTCCCAGAGTTGTTGACCTTTTCCCAAGCCTCTGTGGCGATCGCTCTCCTCCAGCAGAGGCTTGTGAGGCAAGCTGCATGCCCACCAGCCATATGGTTGATGGGGCGCAGCTGGCGGGCATGCAGGAGGGAAAGGAGAGGCCGCCGGCAAAGCCGCGCAGCTCCCCCACTCGCTGGGGGGCCCATGAGAGGCTGGTGCCCTGGCATAGCGCACCAGTAAACCCAATGGGAAAGACTGCTCTGAACTCAACTATTTGAAGTCAGAGATGGGGAACCTGTGGCCCTCCATATATTGTTGCTGGACTTCAACCCCCATCTGCCCTAACCAGCATGGCCAGTTGTCCCCAATCTAAATTATTTCCATGAGGCTCTATCCATCCTTTGAGAACTTCCAGATGGAATTTTTTAAGAAATGCTATAAGATTATTGCAGCAGAAATGTTTGCATGAATGGATTCTCTGTGCTATCTCCTAATGGTATACAAAATTTAGCTGGTCACATATGGCAAGAATATTGTCAAAGAGAAATGTGGGAGGGGGAAAAAAATAGATGACCAGGAAAATGGGAAAGCGACTGGCATTTTTAGCATTTACTGGTAGCTTCCTAATGATGCAGATAGCATGAACAAATCATGCTTTGGGATTAGGAAGGAAGGTTGTTCTGAGCTAGGAGGATGTTTTTACTAGCCTTATGACTCCTACAAGTTTCACCCAGAAGTTTAAGATTTTCTACTCTGCCCTCAGATAGTTACCAGAAGATAAAACAGGTGAAGGAAGTATTTGCACAAATTTTACAGATGCCCCAAACAGAAAACACAGCCAAAGGGAGATGTGAGTAGACTTCCATATTAACCAGCAACTAGACTTCTTTACTATTTATATTTTGGATTTAATCACCCAGAATATTATGACTAAACCAAATAAATATTTGTTGTTCATTTTAACAAAACTGTAAAATTAATAGGAAAGTGTTTATTATCACTTTGACATTGCGCTTCAGAAGTGGATACATTTTGGCATATTGCTACCGTAATTTTCCCACTGAGAGTTCTGTTTCTGTTTTTGTTGCTCTTTTTATACTCCATGAGGCGGGAAGGGGATTTCTACTTGTATTGCTATGAAAATCAGACAGGTGCAGGCCTATTTTACCAAACCAGCAGAGAACACTACCTTCCCTGGACTTTTGGCAAGCTCATCCCATGTAGTGTTCAGCTGATGATGCACAGACTTCTTGCTCTGCAGCAGTGAAGAGGAGCCACAAGATGAACAGTAATGAGTCATTGAGTATTTCCTTTCTTCCCTTCTCTGTGTATGCTCCAGATTTTGAGGAGCTCTTGGGAAAGGACCCCCCTGACCCCTTTTCTTCAGTAAGTCTTACTTATCACTGCCATAAACACCGGCTGCTGCTTCTCTTCCTCACCATTGCTACCTGTGTTGCCTGCTGACCATTGGGATTGGCAGGATCAGGTGGAAAGCAGAGATACCAACAGTGGGTAGAGCCAGGCCCATCATTCACATCATACATTTAAAGCACTGTGGTACCACTTTAAAACACAGATGCCACTTTAAACAGACATGGCTTCTCCTCCCCCCTCCCAAAAATAATCTGGGAGCTGTAGTTTGTTAAGGTTGCTGAGAGTTGTCAGAAGACACTTCTTCTTCTCATAGTCAAATCAAATCAAAGAGTTACAATACTCAGAGGGGTTTAACAGTCAATCTCTCTTCACAGGGAGCTCTAGGATTTGGCCATGCCTGCTGGGGTTGATGAGAGCCCAGAGACATATGGAAAGCCACAGGTTCCCCATCCCTGATGTTGATGTCAATGGAGGATGGACACCTGGGATCAGGGCAGCAGGCTGCAGAACAGTTCCTGCAGGCCATGTTCATCTGTTAGGAGGATTCTCAATCATATCTGTGTACAGCTACTGGATCACAGCTATTCCACCTTCATCTGTCTGAACTGACACTATACATGAGTGTGATTTACTATATGTACAGTCTTACTAAAGTTTTCAGTTCTGGTACAGTAGAAAACATATTTATTTTCAGACCTTCACATATTTATAGCAGAATCAGAGGGCAGGTGTAGATAAGGTACTGTACACCACTTCAAAAATATCTCTCAGACAAGGAATAAACATACCTCAGGGCATAAGATGGAGGCTTGTATCTGAAAAAGAAGCCTTTGATGATCTGACAAAATCTCTTTGCAAAATAGAGACTTTTATACAGGCTAACTGAAAGAAAGCGGGGAAGCAACATTATTTCTGATCTTAATATTCATGCGGTCTGACTTGGGCTCACTGATATTCAAGAGGCAAATTAACTGTGTTAAGCTATGATATTTATGCAAAACTAGAAACAGTATTAAAATGCACTTGTGCAATGTACGTTGAAAAAGTTAATGCATTAACAAAAGTTCTCCATTATCTCAGTATACATGCAAGAACGCTGATTTTCCTTTTCTTAAATCAAAAAACCCAAATGATGTTAATATGGTAAGATGTGATGCATCTTTAAGGAAGCTAAATAGTAAACTGGGCAATTCAGTGAGTAACGGTGATGAGAGACATAATGGCTTGTTCCCACACAAGAATCACATCAGGGTGGTGCATTGGAAGATGGCCGACAATAACATCTCTCCGACCCACACGAGGTAATAAAGAGGCTGCTATGGGAAGTATGCAGTCTTCCTGCCCCCCCCAAGGAGATGGGGGGGACAGCCTTGCCAGTGATGTCCATAATGCACCCCCGGATTCGAAAGAAGGGGGTGCAGGACATTTGGCACCAGCCCTCGGTGAGCTCGGCTCTTCCTGACGCTGTCTCCAATCAGCGCCCTGGTTCGCTTCAGCTCGAAAATATAATTGGAAATATATAATTGGAATGAAGCTGAAG